CAAAGGCTTGCGAGGACACATGTAAAGGATTGCAAGGCAGAGGCGGACAGAGCAGCCCAGCGCTGGGAGACAAATGTAAAGGATTGCAAGGCAGAGGTGGACACCGCAGCCCAGAGCTGGGAGACAAATGTAAAGGATTGCAAGGCAGAGGCGGACACAGCAGTCCAGAGCTGGGAGACAAATGTAGACACAGGGAGACAAATGTAAAGGATTGCAGGGCAGAGCAGCTGGGAGACAAATGTGAAGGGTTGCAAGCGAGAGGGGGAGAGAGGAGGCACATGACACATGTAAAGGAAAGAAGGAAGACAAGGCGGACACAATGACCAACAAGAAGGGGGACAACAAGGGAGACAAGAAGGGAGACAAAAGGAAACACAAGGGAGACAAGACGGACACAGTGCCCAACAAGAAGGAGACAAGACTGGAGACAAAAGGAGACAGAAGGGAGACAAGACGGACACAATGACCCACAAGAAGGGAGACAAGACCGGAGACAAAGAAAGAATAAAGGGAGACAAGGCGGACACAGTGACCAACAAGAAGGGAGACCAAGAAAGACAAGCCGGACGGAAGGCGGACACGGATGCCAGCAGTGCAGGCACCGAACCTGGAAAACAAAAGTAAACAAACCACATGGGAAACAAATGAATAGAAATGCTGCATGGCCAGCGGATAAGGGCGGACACCAGCAGTGCAGGCAGCGAACCTGAGAGACAAAAGTAAAGAAATCACTTTAAAGACAAACGAATAGAAAAACATCTTAAGAAAGAATTGAGAAACCCTACGTACCGGCAAACTATGTGGGGAATGAGAAGAAATGTTGCATCGCCAGCGGAAAAGGGCTGACACCAGCAGTGACACACCTCGGAGACAAATGAATAGAAACGCTGCATGGCCACCGGAAAAGGGCGGACACCAGCAGTGACAGACCTGGGAGACAAATGAATAGAAATGCTGCAAACAAATGCCACATGGCCAGTGGCGGACACCAGCAGTGACAGACCTGGGAGACAAATGAATAGAA